AATCCTTAGTTGGGCTGTTCGATATGACGATAGATATAGGATGATGAAATGAAAACACCCATCGTTTCATATTTATCATTATCATATATCATTTGTTTCGTGGTGTCACAAAATACAGTGTTCACCACAATATTTGTTCATTGTTTGGATGGTCACCATATGGATACAGGCACAGAAAATACCAACATGGCCAGTGAAGATGAGGCAACTACAACTTATGTCTAAAAAATATATAGTTTCATACATTGGTCAAAACACTTGACTCCAGGTACACAACACCCAGAGTGTACAGACAATGCACTATTCTGTGATATATATGATTATCAGAATGAGAAATGTCTTATTTCGGGATATGATATTTTGGTCATATTACACAGCCCTAATCCTTTGTATTTTTATTCATTTTTTTTAGCTTAGACATAAACAACAGCAACAAAAAAGAAACTTTTTAAAATGTCTTTTTGTTCCTGGAGTACATGTGTATACTGTATCATAAGAGGACAGACATGGATGTAAACCACACCTTAACTGTTTGGCTGAGGCAAAAACAACCACAAGGCTGTGATTCTAACTTAAACGTACTAAACGTACTCTGGATATTATTAAATGTGAACATATCGTTAATCATTACATTTTTTATTTATCAGGTGTCCTGTTTAAAGAAAACACTTGGAGCCACTTGATTGAATGTATATACAAATTTACATGACAGCAAACCGATTTCAAGGAAATAAAAATGCTCATATTTGAAAGTTTGTGCATTATTTTGTGTATGTATCAGCTGTTTAGTTGTTTTATGACGAGATTGGATGCTGTCATTATATTTTAGTATAGTTTTTGAGTTGAGGAGAATAAAAGAATGTTTAACATTAATTTTACCAATGTTTTTGTGCACTAAGCACAGATTAATTTAAAAAGTTTTAATTTATGAATTTTTGAGCAAATGTATAGAAATGTATGGTTAAGGATATAAAGAACTACATTTCATGAGTTACAGTGAAAAGAGGTGCCTGTAAATGGTAATATAAACAGAATTTTCAATTTTTCTATTAACGGAAAATCATTAACTGATACAGTTAATGTATCATTAACTGTATCAGTTAATGATACAGAAAATATACAGTGAATAAATGGAATTTTCCATTTTATAACTGAAGCAAATGTCCATAAATACTACAGAGAGTATACTGTAAATCTACTGAATTTTCCATTTTATCATTTATGGAAAGGTTCTTCAACTTCTGTAAAAAATGGCAGAAAATTACCAGGACATTTTCCGTTTTTCTATGGAATTCTTTTTTACAGTGTATGGGTTATGTTTAACATGTAAGAGTGTCAGTCTATGCACTGATTACAGTGAGGAGTATGAAATGTTACCCATTATCCAAATAAAATGGACACAAAGTAATAATAATAACCAACGACATATATTAAAGTTAACCCCAGTCAGATGTTTTATTATTACAGCATAATTTAAAAAAGAGGCTAAAACGATAAAACACATTTTTAAAATGGTTCCACAGTCGCCATAAACAAACACAGACAGAGAAAAGTAAAATAACACTTTTGAGAAGCACCGGCCTTGTCTCTTGCTACAGGTAAACAGAGCTCGTTTGCCCTCGATCCAGCGGTTCAATCCAGATTTTGGTCTATTTGATACACATTGTTTAATAAGTTATTGAGTAGTTCAGAGAGACAACACCACGTCAGCTCATTTGGCTTGATGCTATGTCGGCCTTTTTTTGTGACAAACCGCATGACAAAGCAGACACAACGTACTGACAGTGTCTGGTTGTTTTACACTATAAAGTGCAGCATTTACACAAAAAAACTAAAAGAAACATAAAAGTTCAATCAAAACCCTTTGGATATTACTAAAACAAAAGAGTAACACATACAGAAAATAAAAATTAAAACCCTTTAGTTG